CGAGTTTATTAGCAAATTTAATTCTCAAGCAAAATAAAGGTTGAAATTCAGAACGGTTTCTTTCAAAAGCGGACATTTTAAATTTTTTAAAAAAGATATTTTTTAAAGAAATAATTTTTACATAAATATAAAAGTTACAAGGTGGTATCTTTTTGGCATCAAGAGTTGTGGTGTGATTGGTGATAGTAAACTAAAAAAAACCTTTAATTGAAGCAGCATTTTAGCGCTTTCGCAAGCCTCAGACTCTCTGTTTCCACTAAAATTTCATTTTTTTTTTTAATATATATATAATTCTTGTGAAACTTTTCAACTCTTATACTTTAGTAACGAAAAATTATTTAAAATTTATTTACTCTCAAACAATTTCACAAACATTTGTTTAGAAAATTTTACTGTTATGACTACTTTCGGTTTGTATCGCTCTGCTTGCTTATTTAACCCTTCTAACCCATATACATCACGCTCAATACTGTTTTTTTGACTGCGAGTGCTGTTTTGCTACTTTTGTTCTCAGCGTTTTCTAGAAAAATGCAGTGAAATTTTTTGTACGTTTGACTGATGGATGTAAAAAAAAAAAAAAAAAACGCGGCGCTGGAAGTGCTTCTTGCCTTTCACATTCTTGTGAAAGTAATGAAATCATTGTAAGTATTGTTTTTCTTCTTTTGTTGCAGTAGTGCATTAATTTGAGGCTTGGGAGCCATGAAAAGACCAGCAACGATGTTCGGCATGAAAAAGACAATTTCAGTCTAAATTCTAACTCAGAATGACCTTTCCAAATATGATCCGAACGAATGAGAAGAAATACTAGCAAATCCATTACTTTTACAAGAACATGAGAAGCAATGGGCACTTCCAGCGCCGCTTTTCGAGTACGTTCGTCAGTCAAACATATAAAAAATTTCATTGCGTTATACTAGAAAGCGTTGAAAAGAAAACTAGCAGAACAATACCCGCAGTTAAAAAACAGTACTGATCGTGATGTATATGGGTTAGAAGGGTTCAATGAGCAAGCAGAGCGATACAAACCAAAAATAATCATGATAGTAAATTTTTCTAAACAAATGTTTGTGAAATTGTTTAAGAGTAAATAAATTTTAAATAATTTTTTGTTGCTGAAGCATTAGAGTTGAAAAGTTTTACAAGAATTATATATATTAAAACAACAAATAAAATTTTAGTGGAAACAGAGGGTCTGAGGCTTGCGAAAGCGCTAAAATGCTGCTTCAGTTAGGGTTTTTTCCAGTCTACTATCACCAATCGCACCACAACTCTTGATGACGAAAAGATACCACCTTGTGACTTTTATATTTTATGTAAAAATTATTTCTTTAAAAAATATATCTTTTTTAAAAAATTTAAAGTGTTTTTTTTGAAAAAAACCGTTTTGAATTTTAGCCTTTATTTTGCTTGAGAATTAAATTTGCTAATAAACTCGTTTTACTATTCTTCTGAATCTGCAGGAGACATGCTTTCAAAAAAAGTAAAAATTAGAAAATTCTGTCGCAAATGAAACAAAAATAAAATTCCTAAAAGTGACCATTTCGAGGATAAATTGCATTTTTTTTTGCACTTTAGAATGGTCTAACTTCGCCGCTAGCGCACTTTTTGAGGTAAACTCTTCCGATTTCAAAATCCGTTATCAAGTGCTACAAGTTTGCAAAAAATTAAAAAAAATCTAAGAGGTCGAGGTGCAAACTTGTGCGATTTGGTGTGGAATGGCCCTTATACATATACAAATTATTGTAATCAAGTGAAAATTTTGTTCAGCCTGGTGAAGGACCGGTTTGTCGTGGTTTTGGATTCAAGAAAGTGTTAAGAACTGTTAATTTAAGGTTTCTGTGGGACCTCAAAGAATTCATTGATGACAATCCTGTCTCCTCATTTGTCTTCTGTTGTTGGTTTTCGGTAGTTTTGTTTAAATGAAGTTGTTTGTCTTAAAATCAAGAAAGAGTTGCTTTTGTATAATATTAATAGGTGTAATTAGCTAAATTTACGTATCTGCTCTTTTAGTTTTTTCGCAGTGACTTATAATAGTTGAAAGCGGACCTCATGATTTTTGGGGCAACATTTGTTAGGTTGAAGTTGTTTATGTTTGAGATCGATCAGTTCTTGCAGGTTTAAAGCCTCATCACCGCATGTCTAGCATTTGTGACTTGATACTTGCCGGGGAAATCTGTTGTAAGTTTGCTTTTTTCACTTGTTTGAAAATTGGTACTTGGTCTGACAGTCTAAATAATTATTTGTGATGTGCATTTACTGTTTGTGTTTACTTAAATTATTTCGTTTTAAGCATGTAGATTAATTTAAAAGTAAAAGGATTATTAAGTTGTGAATTTAAAAGCCTGAATTACTTATCTTATTTGGCAGTAACATTGACGCGAAGTCTGTAAATGCTAACTACGTGGCCTGTTTACGGAGTGCTAAAGCTTCATAATTGCATGGGATTTTTTTTCAGTTTTAAGTACTTTATTCAGAATTTAATAAATATTTTGTTGTCCTAAATTCTTTATCAGACACCATACTTGGTTTCAGTTTTACTGATGATTGAACAGAGGCTTTTTTTTGCTTTAGGACTGTTACGGTTACTAATTAATTAGCAGTCGAAAAACTGCATGGTAAATTGAATGGGGATTATTGAAGAAAATCCTGGGTTTTTTGATCCAGTACGAGACTGTCAATAGGAATATTACTCAAATGATCTCTTTGTAACTATAAATTTTTAGTTTGAATACGGTCATGATCTCAGTTGCTGCTCGACTCGGTGCTCGACGGTGTATTCCTCTGCTATGTTCCGGCCATATTAGAAATCCTTCCACTATAACCCAATCTCTTCTTCAGCTCCGTTACTCCTCAAATGGATTTGATATATTCAATGTGGATAAAACAGATTTAAATGTTTGTTGCCTTTTCAAACTTAAATGCTGTTGTGATCTTAATTTTTAAGACTTTTTTTGCTCAATGTTTCTTTTTTTTATAATGACTCAGTAGGTACCATGTAAAAACTGTTTTTTCCTTAATTGTAGAATTTAGTGGATATACCACCTGTGCCTATTCCTCCCTTGCCAAAGCCATCGGTTGAAGAACTTGCTTCTGCTGGCAAAAGTGTTCTCAAAGAACTTGATTTGTTTAGCTGGTGGAAGCCGACTTCTTACTTGAGATGGGCCATAGAAACAATACACATTGAATTGGACCTACCCTATTGGTCTACGATTGCTTGCCGTTAGTATATTTTTTATGCAGACTTGTGGGATTTTTTAAATTGTTTTCAAGCTGACCTAAAATTATAGAACCAATCATTAATTTTGTAGTGTATTTTCAATAACAACGTTATATCATTGCTCAACTTGCATTTTTTTCTTCAGTTACTACGGTACTCAGATTAGCGCTAATTTACGTACCTATAGTAACTCAGCGAAATATTGCGAAGCAAAGTAAATATGCAAAGGAAATTCAAGAATTCCAAACACGAGCAGCCGCAGCTAGAAAGGAAGGGAATTCGCTTTTGGGTTTGTTAGTTTTTACTTTACATTGTTTTGCCTGTAACAGTGATTTTGTAATCTTTTATCTGCTCTTTCCTTTTAGAAGTCGTTGCTGATAAAAATTATAGTTTTTAGCACAGCAGATTCTCTTAGAACAGTTTGACTTTTACAAAAAGAAGGGTATCCGTTATGGACAGCAAGCATTTATACTGTTAGCTAATGGATGTATCTTTTCTACATGGTACTTCGCCTTGCGAGAAATGTTACACAAAAAGTGAGTCATATTTTGACCTGTGTGAAGAATTAATCTTTCTTCATTCACAAAACTTTTTCGTTTCGAGTAGGAACAGAGAAGGTGCCAAGAAAGTTTATTCCAAGAAAGGAGAATTATTTATTGTTTGAAAGACGGATCGTTTCAGGATAGTTTTTCTAATCTACTTGGCAGCCGCCACGTAGTTTATCTCTTTGAATTTGCTTCTGAGTTTTTGTACTTTAGCGTTGGGGTTATTCTACTTAGAAAACTTGATTTTT